AATGTTTTTAGCCGGAGGTCTCTTTGAATGGTATCGGCTGCAACGTTATTGCTGCAGTCTATGCCATTTTCTCTAGATTTCTAAGGGATGTCAGCCGCCTTAGCTCCTTAGCGAACAAATATTCTTGATGTTACTAATAAATTTGGGGAAAGGGATATTGAAAGATTTTCTTGTGGAGAACTGTCATCCAAAAAGAATTGCCACCCGCTAAGTTCGTTCACCAACCCTGGAGCTTCGTCACATCCAGACCTGGGCAGAAGTGCTGACCTTCGAAGCCACCTTTCCACCCATGGTTATTAGCATTTCTTGCTGTTCTGTCACTTTCCTTCAACAACATTTTTTAGTGGTCGATCCTTTTGCTCCTACGGCTGGAATCGGATTGGGACTTCCAGACCTCTACCCTCGTGGAGCTAACAACCTCAGAGATGCAGTGAAAGAAAGTGAGGACAGAAGTGTAGAACAAGCCATACTCGAAAGTCAACTCGCCTTGACAGACATTGAACGGACTGAACGGGAAATAAACGAGCAGGTACAGTTTTCAGAGCAAGTGTTTTTCTTTTTGTGAGAGTAGAGGTTGGAGCTTTATGATCGACGTTGTGAACTACATTTCATAAGTGCAGGTTTATGTGCTGAAAATCTCCTTCCTAGGGAATTAAGAATGGGATAGTGCTGGTGACTGGTGATCATTTTTTTCTGAGAAAATGCTTCACAGCTTGCACATTTCCATTCTTAGTATGTTAATGACTATATGTCTTTAAGATCGCACGCGACTCGTATATGGAGTACTTGAGTATGCTAATGGATTCTCGTGATGTCACTGAAAGTCACATTAGTAAGCGTTTTCGCGTATTGTTCATGATTTTTTTAGTTTGTAACATCGTATTTATACATGTAATTCAAGGAGATAACGTTCTAAACGCTACTAAGGAAAGCCAGGAAGCACAAGGAAGCGCGGAAAGACCTCTGTCTAAATCTACCCTGTATGAGGAACTACTCGCATTGGAAGGTATGCAATTTTCTTTCCACCAATTTTTTTGAGGCCGAGAAACCGCTTTGCGAAAATCGCGAACCCCTTGAAAACCAACTTTTGCTGGCCAAATAACATGGAAACAGTCTAATTTTTTCTATGCAGAGTACGGCCCTTGTCCTGCAACTGCAGAAGAAGAAGATGAAGCATTGGCTTGTGCTCTTTCATTGAGTAAGCAGCAATATTTGGAAGAACTGCAATACCGATATGGTTCGGGATCTGATGAACACAACATCAACTGAAATACCTACCTTTGAGGTACCCTGAAATACCATCGCTATTGAACCAAACTCATGTTATCTTGTTTTTTTTTCACAAGGCATAGTTACAACTGATATCGTCCCAGTCAGTCGGGGCGGTTCAAGAGCGGTGGGATGAGCCCACCTGACACGTCTCCACCACTGATCACTAACCAATCACCACTGGTAGAGCAAGGTAGCGGGAGCAGGATCGTACCGCTCCTCGTGACTGTGCCTCGACTGACTGCGACATTATCATCTACAATGTGCTTTCTATAGTAGGTATAATATCCGTGTGCTCTGCAGGTGACTTCGGCTTTCAGCTTTTCGTTTCTATTACCTTGTGATATTCTGCATAGTTTTTATGATGTTTTTTCACAGTACTCGTACATAATGTCTCACCATAATATCACTAAAATACAGAGCTATCGTCATGTACAGACACTTGTCGTTTTCTTCAAGTCATATTAGATGTGATCATATTGCCAAGTCTGTCAATAAATACAATTTATTATTATGGTCACCATTGTTATTTGCGAGTAGTATCGCAGCTTCAATAGCTACTGTGTCCTAAGTTCTGAAGTCGCTTACCTTGGAACTGCGGATGCCAAGTCTCTAAAACACGAGGAAGGGTCGGGTTCTTTGTGCCCTGTATGCTCTCGAACGTTGAAAAACTGCGCGAACGCTAACTTATTTCCCATGGCTGCGACTGCGAGGGCTCATCTGGAAAACTGCTGTCGTCTCGAAAAAAAAATAGCTGGTAAGGTTGAGAGACATCTATTTCATCACATAAAGTCAAAATGGTTTGCGATGGCTGGTGCAGGTGGAGTGCGCCGTGCAATGCACTCCTCTCCCGGATAGTGCGGGTTTTTTTTCCATAGTTTAGCGTGCGTATCGTGCGTATCTTCCCATATAAGCGTAATCTCTTTGGTGACATGGAAGGTGGGGAAACCAGCTCAAGGCTCAAATGATATTTCCAAGCTGCTTGGTTTCAATCATGTAAGTTATAGTTATGATCACGATCATTATCATGGTAGGATGGAGTGCCGGAAAAAGCGCATTTAATCGAGTTTCTCGATGCCTGATAAAGGCCATAACACATTTCATTTAACATCCTTTCGGAGATTGAAACAAACTGACTTTTGCATGCCAGGCAAGTGGTACAACAGGATACGCATTTTAAAAAAGTTTGAACAATGTTAAACTTTTTCATTATACTGCTTTTTAGCTGGGGTTTAAAAAAAGTCCATGGCAATCGATTCTCGCCAGCTGAAGCTTACTCGCAATCGTAGTTAGAGCGCGGTCTATTCTTGAGTTTAGGATTGTCAATCAGCATCCACTCGTTTTGCCGGAGACCCTCGACGCGAAGAGTCAGTCGCTCGGCAAATACGGCAGTGCGTCGGCACACTCTGTTTCGAGGTGCCAGAGCGAGCCGTGCTCTTTGGAAACAGTACTCTATCCCGCTTACGCCATCAGGTTAGCGCAGAGAGTGGCATTCTCCTTTGAATTTGACTCCAAGTATCACCTATTTTTTTAGATTCTGTAGTACCTAATAGGGGACTTATCGATTTTGAAAATTTGCCCCAATGTCGTCATCGAGAGACGTAAGCCTTTAGCAATCTCTTGTACATTATAGATACTCCTTTGGAAGCCATAGAATGTAAAATGGAAATCAAAGTTGATCATGTTTGTTTTCAGTTCTTTTTAGAGAAACTGTACGCAGGAAAGTCCTTGAAAGGCAATCTCAGAGATCGCGAACCGAAACTAGCAGACCTAGCTGCGCTCTAGATCCGAAATTTCAATATCTAATGAATGAAAATTATTATTATGTTGAGAAGCTACACAAGAGAAGAAAAAAGCAAAGTTCTGGGAAAGCAGTACCTAAATGCAGCCGTGTGATCGGGTAAGCATGCTGCTGCTGAAATAAGGGGGTCGCACCTATCCTGAGGGGGGAAGGGTCGTACTTTAGTTTGTTGGGAAGAGGGAGTGAGGTCTGTGCTTTTGAGAGGAATTTCTGCTGGGAAAATATTCTTTTCCCAGTTGTTGACTTTTTGGGTACTGTGACAAGGAATCGTAAATTTGCCGCGTGCTGGGCGTCGCGTGCGGACGATCTCCCCCGCAAAAGGACGATGGAACTTTAGGCACGTAGTGGATGACAGCAATGCAAACTTAAGGACCGAAACAGTAATGAGTGTCTACGATGACGGGTCTACATGAAGTCCGGTGCTCCATTCGACAGGTTAAAACGAGTTATGAAAACGCCGCGCCCATCGCCGCGCGTGGCGTGCGGCGAATTACGATCCTCTTTACCGTCTCCCGTTGACTTTTCGCGTGATTTTCGCCTGCTTTCACATTGGCCTATGTTAGCCTGCCCTGCCATCGACATGGAAAATCTCGGTGCAACAACTGGAAACTATGCGAGAATCATCGGAAATTGATAAGTAGGTGTGGAAGGGGGGGGAGGGTCTAACAAAACCATCTAGAAGGGGGAGGGGTCGATTTACTTGGCACCACCATTTCAACAATCACGATGCTGGTATCCTGTGTGGGCTTCCGGTAGGAAATTTATGCAACGAAGATGGTGATCAATTTTAGAGTAGGTAGGTTGAAGTGAGGGGGGGGGGGGGGGGGGAGCAATCATCAGTACTGGCCTGATCATCACTACTGCTGCCTCCAATGAAGGTTCTGTAAATTCCTGCTAGGTTAGGCTCTAGCAGCAGCTTCGTTTACGTTACCGAGAGTTCACACGTTTAAACAAGATTAGACGTGAAATTCAACAGGAAGTAGCAAAGGAAATTAGCGAAAGTGCAAAATTTTTCTCTCCCCCTCCCATAAGCTGAACAGCGCCCATTATTATGCCTGATTTCTCATTTAATATTCTGGTCTTGATCAAGTCATATTTTTTATATAGGACTCGAAAACTCTAAGCAGTCGTCCTAGTTCGCTCGCCTCACGAAGTCGTGTCAAGCGGCGATGAGTTTGGCCCTGTGCCAAATGCACTGTCAGCCACGGTGTTGAAAGCGCGAGCAAGTGACTATGTCGTTGCAGTATCACACTCGGGTTTCCACAAAACGTTGTCGCATACCCGCTTCAACAACTGGCAGAGACGGGTTTGGGCGCCACGGCACACTTATGGTGCTCATCATTGCAGACCGGTGGGGCGGTGCGTGTGACTCGGTTACGTGACAACTAAAACTTTTGGTGGGGGTCCTGCCACGATAGGCCAGAGCGCAGAGCAACAAGGGACTGCCACTGCCAAGGCATCGTGAGGTACAAAAAACACGATGCGAGCCAGGAGATGAGTTTTTTCGAGGGAAAGGGATATCAGGGTGGATGAGCACTTAGTATGCGTGAAAAGTTGGAATGTGAAAGGTCAAAGTGGCCATAAATCGCAATCCAGGCAAGAGAGCGCAGAGAAAAGAAGAAAGTTGGCGCCATTAAAGGGATTGAGTTTTAGCTGTCCGTAGACCGTTGACTCGGCTGTGACGCGACTGTCATCGCTGCCGCGTCACAGCCGAGTCACACGCACCGCCCCACCGGTCTGCAATGATGAGGACTGTATATTTGCATGACACGCCCCTTTAATTCCGGCTGGAAACCAGATTAGCTTCTGTTGAATCTTTTTTCTTATTAATTATCCATTTACGTGTTCCGTGCAGGTGCTCTTACCTTCTTCAGTTGCCGCTTTCTCTATATTCATATTCTGACGACGACGGGCATTTCGAAGCTCAATAGCACTCCCTTCTGTTCGTCACTTCCCCTTCTGGCCGTCAGTTTCAATATACACCATATCCCAGAGGTGGAGAGTCCGTAGCTGCGTACTTCATTTGAAGGTGGAGGCAGGTGCGCCTTAGGAGGGACATTGTGGTTTTAGAGCAGTTGCGACCATGACATTGTTCAGTAAGAATCCTTACATTCTATAAACCACTAATTCTGTGTGTCGGTTTGTCGGTATGTATGTATGTATGTCTGTCCGTCCGCAAAATGTTTCACGGGTTCAAACACGTCAGTGAAGGAGAGTATACGACCGCTACCGCTAGCCGGTTGCGAAACCAGTTGGTGCAGATGTATCAATCCAATGTTTTGATTGTGATAACACCCTGCACTATATAAGAGAACCATGTAGTGCACTCCAAACCATTGCACGAGCTGCTCGCGTGGCAGGTGGACGTGAGCACGTGCAGCGGCAGGGATGGGGAGTGGGTGGGGCAAGTGGGAGTGGTGAGGGTATAATGTGGGTGGGTGGGATTAGTGAGGGAGAGTACGGGAGGGGAAGCGTATAGTGCGTTTAGTATAAACTCATCACCAGTGTGGTAATAAAAGCGCCAATGAAAGCGATAAGATGAATAGAGGAAGGATCAACCGCTAGCAGAGTCGCGAATAAAATCCATGTTTTGGTATCACTTTGAGGCAATGTGTAATTGTTTACTACCTCACCATAATAAAAGAATCATGTAGTGCACTATAAGTGAGCTACTCGCATGAACATATTGATCAAAGATTGTTGACTATCTGTATAAAAGAAAAGCCGGTGAGGGGATAGATAAGCGCGGCGGAGGCGGGCCCGCTCAGCAAATCCATTCTTTATCTCAGAAGAAGAACGTCGACAGGCATCAGCCGGCAAAGCCGGCTGGTAGGACAATAAATGAAAATATCCCACGAACAACTCATCTTACGTCATGTTCGAGTAAGCTACGCAGCCATGCCCACTCCATCGCTGGTTGTGCAATGAATATGATAGTCTCAAGACAATTGTCGAGCACGAAGCCTCCCTCCTCCTTCCATTTCTTCCTCCTTCCTTCTTTTCCTTCCTTCCTTCTTCAACTGCTTGTTCAGTAGTGCCATAAGAAAATACCTCTGGACCCTCATAGCGAGAGCATGTCCGCTCGGCAAGAGCTCAATAACCGTACCTAGTAGTCCTTTCCGCCCGCCGCACTTGGGTCATGTTTTGGAAAAAAATCCCATCGGGGTGATGTGCCCTGCTTACATTATATGCGTTTCGGACTCCTGGAACATTTGCTCCATTTTCTATGAAAAGGATTGAGCGCAAAGACGTGCTAGACATCCAATTAGCATTTCAAAGCGCCTTCCTGTGCGAGTGTGACAGCTGAGCTTTCAGTAGCGTTCAGTTATGTCGTGGATCATGTGCATTTATTCCTCACGCTTCATTGCCCCCCGCCCCTGTTGAGGTATCTTTCCATCAGGGCTTCTTTCTGGTTTCCGCATTCTCGTTCGGTTTAGTGGGACTAGAGAAGGTATGGCTTTGCGGGATCGTCCATTGCCACTCCCATCGTGTTTGTTCATAACAGGTGACCTTATTAGCAGCGTTTGTTTGCGTATCTTTTCATAGGCTAACCACACTTGCTGATCTTGTTTACTCATGGCTTACCCGAAAATTTCAAGAACTTTGGTTTGGCTCGGCTCACCGGGATGTGGCGCGCTATGCCACGTCATCCTAAGGTTTCAGCCGTCACGCACTGCGTTCCCATTAGTTTTTGTTCGGCTTCGCTAATCGCTCGAAGCGCCCTCTTTATTGTGTTCACCCCTTTTGCTTTCAGCTTTTCGCTCATAACTAGTTCATTCCTACTCTTGAATTCTTCTGCTAATGACAGAAAATCAGTTTTCTTTCCTCATGCATATGACAGCCAGTGGTGAAAATTAGTCTTCTGCAACTAACTGCTAATTGATTGCATATTTGGTTTGTTAATAGATTCGGAAAAATGATTAGTTTCGGTTCAAGTGGAGAACTGGAGGTTTCACAAAGAATTTTGTAGCAGGACGGTGACGTCATGATTAGTACTTTTTCAAAGGCACGCTCCGCGTTCACTTGATGTTCAACCCCTTCCTTGCAGAAGGTAGCCATGTCCGCAAGCACACAGAGCATGTACCACTGCCGTGCAGCTATTCAGAATTTGTTGAAATCCCAATCTTGAAAGCTTACAGCCCAAAACTTGGGTGTATCTTGGATGGTGCGCCGCGGTCCCAAATGCCACCCTCACTAGGCCTCTGCATCTGGTCCGGACAACTCGTCCACATTAGCCACTTTCTTGATAGACACGGCTGAGTAAGATGACTCGGGAGACGGCCAGGAGTCACCGCCGCGCTCGAAACTAGGTCACCGCGCGCGGCGACCTGTCCGCGTGGCGCGGCGGTGAGTCCTGACCTGGCATTTTGCCAACTTCCGATCAATACGACCCTATCGCCATTTTCTTGTAGCGTTCTCTCTTTTCCTCATCTTCCATCTGCCAAG